AGGATTTTAAGACACAAAAATAAATTGAGACTCTGCAGATTTAAACTTCCATGGAGAAAGAGAATTTATGTTAAAGAATTGTTACTCTTTCTGGCAAAGGGCAGCCCACTTACGGGCAGTAAAACATAAAAAGTATCTCTCATCTTTAATAGCTGTAAGAGGACATAAAGAAGAGGGACTGAGCAGGATGTTTTGAATTTCTCAGAAAGAATCTCAGATTTACAGGCAGAGCCTTGTGCTTAGTGTCATATAAATAGATTGCCCATAAACAAGGCCGATGAAGTAAGCAAGATATAAGAGTTCCTATGCGTGCTGGTGTGTATCTTTAAGACAGCACAGGCTTCTGACTTGGGATAAACTGAGCGAGGTCACAGCTGGTCCATAGCAGCTCATGGATCTTTCTCGGAGGCTGAGAAATATATAACCAGTAATTAAAGTCATGTTTTCCATTAACAAAAACAACAACAAATCCACCAACAATGCAATTCCACATGTCTAGTTTCATATGAAACTTTCCACATGAGAGGCTTATTCTGGTAAGGACACTATCGATTTCATTACAAAAAAAGTTGCCTTTTCATATCTAACTCACCTTAAGGGGATGTCTCAGGCTTATCCACCACGTCAATATTGCCATAAGCTTCACTCTTTTTTTCTTATTTCTACATCAGCCACCTGGAACATTTTACAAACCAGAGGTTGAGCTCAAAGTATGGAATATCTTACCAGAATCAGCCTAAGAGATGGTAAGCTTTGAGATGGCAGTCAGCCTGAAAGGGAATGGAAAAACAGACGAACCAATGAACCAATCAATCAACCAACCAACCAACCAACCAACCAGCAAACCAGCAAAACTATTGGACTCTATGATACCTCATGATTCAGTACAGTTAGCTACTTGTTTCTTAAGTTCAAACTTCATATACTCGGGCATTTGGGACACTAAGACACTTCTGGCATATCAGAAAGGGCACTGGATTCAGAATCAAAAGAGGGGGCATCTAGCCCTGGCCCTGTGACCCACCAGGTTGAGTGAGGCTTTGAGCATGTCACTTAAACTTGTGTTCCCCTCAGCTTCCTCGCCTGTGGAGGCCATCCATTGTGAGCAGAGAATGAGATAAAGTAGGTCAAAGTGCTTTCGGGGACGTTTAAAATGTTACACAAATGTAAGGGCTAGGGAATTCCCTTCCTCTTCTCAGAGAGCAAGGAAGGTAGGAAAAGTCTGTGCTTGTTTTCTCTGTGAGGAAGGATAAGAATCCACTTATTTTATATTGATGATGACACAACAGAGTTGTGTAACAAGAACCTGGATGTGCGTCATCATCATTATTAGAAAATTAACATAAGGTTTAACCACCAGGTAATGTGGCTGATTTTTAAATAAATATATCTAAGTGGGTGTTGTCCTATCCTGAGTAGTGAGTAGTCACCTTGGCAGGCGAAACATTTATTTAAATAATATTTCCCATCATTCAAAAAAAAAATTAACTCCTCTTGGAATTGTTCCTAGAGCCTCTGGCACATTCTTTGAATATGTCTGAGGGTGACAAAAATTTTGTCCTTTGAAGATAATATTTTTTATGTAAATAGCCCAAGTTATTTGGCACAAAGGTTGGTAAATGAGCTAAGTACCACTTTTTTTTTTTTTTTTAATTGGAAAAAAGCTGTGACTATAAGGTAGGAAGCCTGCCTTTCTTCAGTTCCAACAGAAGGGTTACAAATTTTGGATTTCAGGAACTGGCAGTATTGTTGGAAAGGGCTTGTTCCATCCTAAATTGACCACATTAAAGGAGAAAAGCCATTTGGAAATGTATGTCTACATTTTTAGTCACACCTTCATTATTTATCTTGCAAGACCATTTGGCATTAGATTTTAAGTTTCCAGAGAGAAAAAAGCATTGCAACTAATCAACTCTTCGATCATTTTATCGCAGTTACTTAGGGCATCTGAATCCTTCATTTGCATATGGATTAACTGGCTAGTAATAGAGATCTGAGTTTATTGGAAATACAGCATTCAGCAGATTCAATTCTTATCAATAGACTCTATACTCCCTAACAAGTTTGGATTGTTTTGTTATGAAAAATTCATCCAAAAATTAAAATATCACCAATGCTTCAGGTTACAATGTACTGAGTTTCCTGATATTTTAATTGATACTTCTGACCCTATTGATCCATAGATATTGCCAGAGTAAATTTGCTTCTGGTGCAAATAATCTGTTAGTGTTATTTTAAAACGAACACAATCACACTTTCATTCATTGACTATTGCACACTGTTGGTACTTCGGTGTTAAATGATGCTGATAACTTTTCTTTTACAGGAAATATTATTTCCCTGGCCTCATTTTTTATTATGATAAAATTCATATAACATCAAATTCATCATTTGATCATTTTAAAGTGGACAATTCAGTGGCATCTAGTACATTCACTATGTTCTGCAACCATTACCACTATCTGGTTTTTAAACATTTCATCACCCCAGAAAAAAACCCTGTATCTATTAAAAAGTCACTCCCCATTCTTCCCTTCCCCCAAGCCCTGGCAGCTATTGACCTGTTGTTTCTGTGGATTTGTCTATTCTGGACATTTTATAGAACTGAAACCTTACAATATGTGGCCTTTTGTGTATGGCTTGTGTATGTTTTCAGGGTTCAACCATTTATTTTTATGGCTGAATAATTCCATTGTATGGATAGACCACCTTGTGTTTATTCATCCATTGATGAATATATGGGTTGCTCTTACCTTTTGGCTATTCTGAATAGTGCTACCATGAACATAGGTGTACAATTTTTTTCTTTGAACACCTGTTTTCAATTCTTTTGGGTATATACGTAGGAGTGGAATTGCTGGGTTAATGGCAATCCTATGTTTAACTTTCTGAGGAACCTCCAAACGTCTAACTCATTTTTATGCTTACAATTTCAAGGTGGCTTAATTATCCGACAGTTAGAAGCAGTTGGCTTGCTGCAGCCAAACTCCCAGCTGAGCCCAAAGAGATCTCTTTTACAGAAACACTGATTAGAGCAGCTAGGCGCAATCTGAGCAAAGCTTGTTCCAACACAAGGTTACAGCAGGGCTTTGAACAGCTTTCTCTGCTACTCTACATGTCACGACATGAACTGGCTGGGCAGGAATACCTTCCTGCCTCCTAGGCATCCTTGGTTCTCCATTATGTTGCACATACTTTTGGAATAAGCAAAAAAAAAAAATTTAACTACCTAACTTACATGCTTCCCTCCTCCCAGTTTTGCAGAAGAATTCAGATGAGAATCTGAAGTCCACGTAGAGATGATGATTGGAGGCCAAGGCTCGGCAGCGGTTAGTCCTTTCTTGGTTGGAGAACAAGGCCTCCCCAACATCAGTTGAGACAATAGAGGTCTTCCATCCAGGACACTTTTCCCAAGCATTTTGCCTGAGGGCACCGACTGCTCAGTGATTCTGACCTTATCGATCCACAGTTAGTTACAGTTACAGTTACAGTTACGGGGTTGAACCGACCCCACTGTGCATATCGCAGATTTTCTACCCTATGGGTTTGGCCAAGACAATCAGAGATGGTCCTGCTATAGGCATTGTTTACTGCAGCCAATTTACTGAGTCCCCTCAGCCATTAACCTGACCCTGACAGTAAGCTGATTAGCACTGATTTTTTAAAAAATTTAAACCTGTTTCATGAGCTTCTCAGGGTGCTGACCTCTCACCTCAACTAACACATAGGTAGTTCTGAGCTACATGAGCCCAGGTCAAGGAGTATTTGCGGTTGTACTGCCAAAAAGAGAAACAGGCCAAAATGGCTTTTAACACTTGAAACTAAATACTAAGAATGAAGAAGTTGCCTTCCGGGGTTCCTGCTGCACAGTCTCTCTGCTAACCCAGCTGTCACTTGCTGCTTGTCTCCTGGCAGCCTTTTCAGGTGTCTTGGCCTGAATCTGCCATCAGGACAGAAAAAAGTCCCTTGGCTGGTCATATCCTCTCTGATCTGGCAGGAAACCTAAAGTTTGCCTGCGCCCGTGCCGTTTGCTTGCTTATCTGCTTCCTTGTAGGGAAGAGTCTGTATCACAGTGTCCGGTTTAGGGGGATTTTTCACCATGACCTCACCCTGCTGCAGCTACCATCCACTGATTTCAGCGTGGCAGCTCGGGTGGGAAGTCATATTAATGAAACATTAACGATCCCTCCTAGCACATCTCAGATATACTTCAACTCCACTTCTTTTTCCTAAATGGGGTTTGTGGGGAGTGTCTTCGCAGGGGTCTGAGACGACCAAAAATAGCTCAGTGGGTGGATTGATGACGTTTAGTTATCGTTTGGGGCTTGGGAAAGCAGGATGTCAAGGAAACCACTAAAGAAAATGCACCCAAAATCCTCCAGGCTCGCGCCAGCTGTTTAAATAAGTTTCCAGCGAAAGGCTTGGAACGGTGACAGCAGGCGGTGGGCAGGAAACCTCGGAGAATGAGAGGCGTGAGCGGTTGACGACCCGAAGGGGCAGAGTCGGCGACCAGGTCTCAGGCCTCCAGGGTGCGGGGAAATAGACCTTCTGCCCGTAAGTGGGCGCAGCTACTTAAAGTAAAACAGAAAGTAGGGCGCCGGAGGCGCGCGCCCGGACCTTCCGGAGATCACGTGACCACACGCCCGCGCGCACGCGAG